GGGGGGCTGCGAGTGACGGCCGGTAAAATATACACACTGAATGCCCGTGATAGAAAAGTGATTTACGGACACTAGACTGGAAACATGCAGTACAAAGACGTGTGGGTGTAGAGAGTTCCCTGCCCTGGCAGTGAGTCTGACGCGACAAAATAATAAAGCACAGAGCCCGATGAAGCAGATGTATAACGAAAACTTTGTAATTATTTACTCAACTGCTTTGGAAATCTAAGTGTGATGAAGTATCACAGTTGGAAGAGAAAATCCAGGTGTCTACTTCTTACAAGTGTCAGTCTACTAGTCTCACACTCATAAGTGTGGGACTTCATGTCTGTCACACAAACAACCGTGAGACCATAAGCGCGCCTTAATTGCAAGCCATGTTTGGTCTAGTGGTCCAAGACTACGTTTACGTGCGACCAGGGGTCTGTAACTTAACGTAACATAAACTAATGTTTGTGGAATGGAAACAGATTAAAATAAGCCTGTTCTACTCTTAACTTCGTCCGAACATCCAAACCGTCAATGTTTGCACACGTTTTCCGCCCGCATTGAAACAAATCAGTTATTTATCGTCCCAGAGGTGGGTTAAACGTTATGGTTTCGGTTAAAGTTATGACTTAAAATAACGTTAAGGAACACTTGTGTGTTAAGTTACGGACCCCTGACCTGCGTGCGACATTGTGCGACCGTCTTACACTTGTAAATGTGATACACATGAGGTCTCAGAGTTGAAAGACTGAGATGGCCGGTCTTGGAGCTACAACCGTCAGACTGTATCACACTTGAGTTTCCAATCTGAAAAACTACTACTTTTGATTAAAAATGAACACAGGAATAAGCAGCTAAGACGGACCCCCCCCCATTTCCCTGCAGAACTACGTTGCCACCAGTGGGCCACGGACGCTCAAACGTAAGCAGACGAGCGCCGCTCGCTCAACTCCACAGTGTCTTCCGTCCAATAGTCCCTTCGCTATACGACAGCGGACTGCCTGCGCACCTGGTTGATGAAAGCGTGGGACCAGTAGTGCGAAGGCCTGTGTCAGACATTAGAGCCATGGCTGTACCGGTCCATGCTGGTGAGGCGCTCGGCTCTGTGCTGCTCACCAGACGTACTTGGGCCCGGGATGCTCGCCAGCCCACTAGGCAGGCCACCGGGCGCGCGCAGTTCAAATCGGTGGTACGAGCACGACGGCTGGTGCTCCGAGAAGGACGCGTGCGAGAACGACGCGTGATGGCGAATGGCGCCCAGAGGCACCGAGCCGACGGGGACATGCGAAGCCCTCCGCATGCTGGGACTGCACGTCGGCAGCACCGACGCGCTCGTCGTGGCCCCGATGGGCCCTAGCGGCCCCAGTGCCGGCTCGTGCTCAGACAACACCAGCGTCTGCAGGTCCATGGCTGACTTGACCTGCGGGCAGTGCGCGCGCAGAGCGGCGTATGAGGCGATATCGGAAAAACAACTTTGCAAAAGTCCTTCCCTGATTAGAGTCCGGATCAGATGCAAAACAACACGAAATGTTTGACATGAAGTACACATTACACAAGTACTATGATTTTAAAACGCCAAATATAGTAAAATTAAACATATCTATTGTTATGAGCACGACCACACATTAAGCTACTTCAAGTGTTCGGATAAATTATACCTATGTTTAGTGTTTGACCAAGGCTAATCTATTTAAAAAAAACAGAAAAATACAGAGAAAAAGTAATTTCTTTTAATCTTGAGAAAGATGCCACTAAAATCGAAAGTAAAATTCTCAATGATGCAGTACAAAGCATGCAAAGAAAGTGAGGTTTCACCTAGAGCCTTGGAAATGGACCTTTTATCGCAAGCAGTTGCTTGTACAATCACATTTTAGCATCAGTGATCGATGGAATGACGTATGACGAGAGTAATATTTTAGTACATGTTCGATATCTTTTGTAGTTTACAACTTAAAAACGATGGTGTAGATTTACGATCAATATTGACAATTTTCGGCAACGCACAGCCCCCTTTCCGAAAAAAAAAGTTCGCATCTGCTCACCACTTGTAATTGTCCAACTGCACGCTGGAAACTTGCAAATGTGCAACTCCTCTGTTAAATAGTTCCTTGGATTAGACGCTTACTGTGTGTTCAGCGTTAATACAGAAGAGTTGCACACTCACGTATGTAAACAACTACCGAATGCAAGTGTACTAATACGCATTTAAACACTTGCACACTTACAAGTATGAAGCAGTTGCATACTTGGTTTATCAGAGAAGGAAGTAAGCAGAACAAATAATTTATGTGCGGCGTTGCAAAGTCGTTTCGAGAAAAGGATGGATAAAAGGTCTTTCAACGAATATTCTATCATAGAGTTAAACTGAATTAAAGAAAACATTATTAGATGCTACAAGGAGTACTGAGAGGGGCTGATAAATGAGCATACCGATTGCGTTCATTTTTAAAATTGAAATGCAGTAGCACTGTTTTTCCGAGGAAGAAAGTTACCAGACTACGTGCTACAGCAGCGGCGTGCCTAAGTGCATCTGCCAAGTAGAGAGTGGTGCAGAGTCGACCCAGAAGTGAAGTGAATGGATCTCCAGTCAGGCGATACTCTCTAATTAGGCTTGTTGGCTTTTAAGAGACCAAAGTAAAAAGAAAGTAACATTGAACAAAAGCTGGTCTTCAGTGAAGCACAAAGGCGTGTTTTATACAGAAGGTTTTGCGGGGCCAAGCGGGATAAAAACATATATAAGTCCTGGCTGATTCACGACTGAAGATTACTTTAGCTAGACGACGAAGAAGACGAACAGAACAACTCGCTCACTGCCACATTTAGTCGGACACTCATAGAGACAGGCGGGAAAACGGGAAGCTACCTTCCTGGGCGGGTTATGCAGGGCGGTCAGCATAGTCGGGGACGCCCCGACGAACACCGAGTTCTGCCTGGGCCGGAGGAGCTGGGCGCGCGCTGCGGGGCCAGGGGGGCCCGTCAGCATTACGGGCTCGCCCAGCGTGTGCAGGTTCAGCTTGGACAGGCGGTGGTGCTGCAAGAACAGGCCCTACGTGCAGTTCAAATGTGCTAGCGGAAACAAAACGGCCGGGGAGAGCTCAATACTTTGCCAGAAAAGAATCATACCAAAACATTATGAGAAATAGCCAGTCAACCGTTCGGCTTTTTAAAATTTTGTCTGATACTAACCTAAAAGGGATCAGAGTTCATAGGCTAAGAATAACATCTTAGGAGAAGCGAATCACAGGAAAACATACTCTAATTAAGAGTACAATGTATAGCGTGAAAGAATGAATCTTAGTGAAGAACATGATTAAAGGTAGAATGCCATAAAACGGGAATTTGGGCGATCCTGCCTGCCGCAAACTGATGATTGCGAGTGCAGGTAGATGAATTACATTTGAACCCCAAAAAGACGACAGAGCTCTCCCCAGTAAAGGACGCTAGGGCTTAATACACTCTAAGATACTAATGGTAGTAAATAAATATATCCATTATAATTATTAGGTGCATTTAAATGGACGGGGTGTTTATATGATACAAGGTGCTCCTGAGGTTGGGTGTGCTGAGGACCAGTTTTGTTGGCTCTAAAGTGGAGCTGTGTTTATTTAGCTTAGGTGAGTCGGCCAGCGAAACAATGAATATGTGGAAGGGAATATGAGGTGAGGGGTTTGGAAAGGTTGTGCGAAGCCGGCAGCCGGTGTATGTTTTAAGAACTCGGCATTGATCAGATCAACATGTTTGGTCTGTGCTTAATAAGACGAGCAGGTTCATCCCGCGATGACCACAATTAAAAATTCCTACAATAAAACAGGAACACAGGAATCAGAGGTTTTAAAAGCAAGCTCAGCGGTTCTTATCCACTGCATATAAAAGAATCTATTTCTTCGCTTTCAAAGATAAAGAAAGCTTGCTGAGGCAAAATGTTTCTTCTCATAAGATTGCATTTTAATTCTGCATTAAACTGAATCAAATTACAGAATCATTTCTATTACAGTAAAGGGGAGAAATGCTTCTTTCAAAAAAGCACGTCCAATATAATTTTTTTCTGTTTTGTTGGAAGCAAACGTGACGAAAACACGTCATCACAGGTGGTATGTGTGCCAATGTCGGCATCGAGGTGGTGGAGCGGTTGCGGTGGTTGTGCACGCGCCCATGTTCAGTGGGACGGAGCATGTCGTTGGTGATTTGGGTTGGCAGACAAACACGTACATGTGCGGCGGCGGTGTCTATTTATGGGGCCGTCACGCATGGTGTCAGTGCAGTGTGTGTGTGCGTGGGCAGGAGGGGAAGGGGGAAAGGGGTTCCCACCGCCTGTCGGACGTGCCACCGCTACTGCCACTCACTGCGGGGAGACGGTTCACATGTTGCAGCGAGTCACATCTGTCCGCAGAGTCACACTTCTTTTTGCTAGACATCCGACGAAACCTAATTGCTGACGGGCTCTGAAAAGTGCCGAAGTAACGGCAACATTACTGTGAAATCACTGAGAGCATACTGAACCCTTATGCATGGTGGTGTTGTGCATCAGCAAGCAGAACTTCAAGCATCCATAGATCTGCACAAAATTTGATGCATAAATCTACATGTACCGAGGGGGAAACGACTGTTAAACTTTGTGTCAGCCGGATTACAGATTACCTGGATTACCTCCGGAGTGTCCTCCGGATTACGTTGCTTTTTCTCTAGGATTACCCCGGATTACCCCAAAATTTCCCCGGATTACCACGGATTTTTTTTAGAATTTCCTCGGATTACCCCTGCCGGATTACCTTTCGGCTGTCAGCCGGATTACCTTAGTCGTTTCCCACTCGATATGTACAAATTGTACGTAAATATGCAGAAATTTGTGCAGAACGGACAAAGTCGCTTCATCTTACAGAATATGCAGCGCTTTAAAGTGCCTCCCCTGGGCGCACCTTTGTTCACATTTAACCTACGACAACGGGGTACATGGAAGGTTGGGCCACAGTGTGTTTCTCCAAAAGAGTGCCTTGCATTGATACACATTTTCCCCATGCAATCCATTTTAAGGGGACACAAAGTCTCGTCAATGCGATACACAGTGGCTCCATTCTGTAGCAAGTGACTTTGGCGCCTACCTCTCAGACATCTTGTATTTACACAGTGTAACTATAACTGCACAAAATCCTGCTTATCTTATGCGCAACATAATGCATATGGGTTTAGTACGAATAGAATAGCCTGCTTTATTTTCTTTTTGTTCCAGGCTAAAGATAATAATGTGTATTCAAAACAGGTGCGGTTTTAGCTCCAGCACTGGAAAAACTAATGTTACCGAGGTCACGTTTCTTGACGTTACCAAGCCAGGTAACGTTTGGTAATGCAACCAGTTTATGATAGCCCTATCCTTTTGCATGGGGTAGGATGCATCAGGAAACGTTACCGGGCTTGGTCACATGATGAAACGTTACCTTGGTAACATTAGTTTTTCCAGTGAGCTGACCCGGAGGGGGGTTGGGTGGTGGCCCTTCACCCTCCCCTGAACAACGCCTGATTTAAACGACCGGCTAGACCAGTAAAAATTTTAGCCTTCTACGTGTTGCTAAAACTATGATCAACGTCTAGACTATGACACGGTGCTTCGTCACAGAAAACGACCAAAAGTCACATTGCTACTTATAATCTATCTCTTTCTACGATGTGACATGACATAGCCAGCCCACCTCAAACCAAAATAAATAAATATTGCAAGCTGATGAATTTCCACACTGTGCTGGTACACGGATAGGTGGCGGTGGCGCCCGGGGAGAGCACCTTGTTGTATAACTTTACATAACCACCATGCCGTGTGGTAGTTTACAGCAAACTGCTGGGTGGGGAAGAGCGTGATTATTGTGCTAAGTCTGCGGCGAGCTGGCAACACCCGAGAACTCTGCTTGAAGCACCCAGATGAAGACAAACAAACAAAAAATGACTCCTCACTCTGCGTTTAAAGGCCGCTGAATGTCAGCAACGACGTTACATATACTGGATATCGGTCTAGCCAGGGAGAGCCTAGCCTAGATCTGTGTCGCGCCTAGCTAGGTGCTCCAGGGGACCGACGAGACGTCGCGTCATACCTGCGCCACCGTGGCGTCAGGGCCCGAGATCGGACTGTGGGGGCAGAGGCCAGAGTCGAGGCCAGAGTCGAGGCTGGGCGGGGCCTGGGCGGGGCCCTGGGCAGGGTCCTCTAGGTCCTGGCCGAGGCCCTCGGCTTGCGGAGCGGCGCACCGTACCTGCGTCGTGCCGGAGATGTCGACGAGGGCGCAGCTCTGGCGGTGCTGCTGGAACTTGGGCTGGTACGGCTCCAGCATGCGGATCTTGCCCCAGCGGTTGAAGAAGAGCGCGATGGCGGCCACCCACAAGACCAACACTAGCAGCACGAGCAGCGCTTCCTCAGCACGGACTACGATGGCAGCGCCCCCCGCGCCACCGGGACCGCTGGGCCCCACTGGGGGGCCTCCCGGCCCGGGGGGCACCGCCAGCCCACCAGGCGGCATACCGCCTTCCTTCACCACCACGGCCTCGCTGGGGTAGCTGCGGCAAATAGAGACGATCAACACGCGACATGTCCAAAGCAGCAGGGGGGAAACAACACGCGACACAAATATTGACATTATCAGAGTAGTTTCCGGAGCATTGGAATCGCAAAGGTCGGACTTAGTGGCCCCTCGAATAGACGACGAATTTCAACGAGTTTTATCCCGCTAAAAGTAAAAGCCACTAAAATGTCCATCCTGGTGTAGGATGTTGTACCTTTGATTTTCCAGTAAATACAAATAATTCTTTTTTATAATCATTTTTTTGTAAAACTCTGCGGTTTGCTTGTCTTAAACCCAGTAAACCGCGCCCCATCACATCCTTTACTCCTGAAAAAAAACAAAAAAACAAAACAACAACAACAACTCACGTGTTGTAGAGGTGCTCGGTGCCCGGGTAGGGCGGCACTGGCGGTGGCGGCTTCCGGTGGACGGGCGGGTTGACGGCGAACTCGTACTGGCCCGGGTAGGTGTCGGGGTAGGCGTCCCGCTCGGCGTGCTGCTGCGGCCGGGCGTGGTGGACGCCACCGGCGGCCGGTGCGGGGGCCGGTGCGGGGACCGCCCCCGGGTACGGCGGGACGTGGTGGCCCCCGAAATGGTGGGCCGCATGTTCCGGGCGGTGCGGCTGCTGCAGCCCGTCGGGGAGAGCCGCGGCCCCGGGGGCCGTCAGGTTGTTCAGGTTAGGAGGCGTAGGGGCCATCGGACCTGTAACAGGAGCCGGGCGAGGGGTGAGGCCGACAGCCGGAGGTGGGTCCGGTAGATTGCCTCCGCCCGGGACTGGTCGGCATCATTAGGACGGGCCTCGCCCCGGCCGCACCAGCTGCCGCCGCTCTCATGATCGACACTGTTTGCGGACTCGAGAAATAATAACACTACCGATACATACAACGAAAATCAATCTCCGGACCCCCCACCACCCTACCCCCCTCTCGCCGCCGCCGCGACTTGTCAGGCAGACGCGCGCGCTCCGTCTATCACAGAGTGGCGGCAGACTCATCGCGGCACTCATCCGGGCCAAAGTTATTAGCCGCTCTCGCCTCCCACTCCTCCCGACCGACATTCTCGCCAAAACTTTTCGCACGAGGAAATTGAAGTTGTAGTGCCGCGAGCAGCTGCAGGCAGGTGTGTGGACGGGTGAGTCAAGGGGCCAGAACTCGGGCCAGACAGAGAGGGAAGAGGGGAGACAGGGGGGAGATAGAAGGGGAATATTCGGGAATATTTCAAGGAATCGAAGTCGACTACAGTCCACTGAATAAGTTGGTTTCATCCTGAAAGTACGTTCGTTTACCGTTCGGCCTCCCGAGAGCTTGGCGCCTGCGAGACTTGGAGTAGGCCAGCCCGCAGTACACGCATGGACTGCGAGCGTGATGTTGCCTACCTACGAGGCGCTATCAGACCTTCCACAGGCTGAACTTACTGCCAGGTTTCTGACCTGATAGATCCCAGGCTGGTTTCTCCACATTTTATGTTGGCTGAACCAAACCGAAAGCACAGCCATTATGTCACTGGCCGAATTGTTTTCCCGTCAAACCAAGCCATTTCTACTGATATGCCAATATAGCTATCTTCGGTGAACACGCGGGCGGGCGCACAAGGCCGTAGCTTCTAAAGCGCAGGCGCACGCACACAGAGCCGTACGATCAAAGACTTCCTGCTGGGGACACTTGGATGCACGGTGCGGCGGGGTGGGGCGGATCGGCTGTAGGTCGCGGCTGGTGGGGCTGGCATCTTATCCATCGCTAGGATCAGGCCCGGTCGCGGCGCTGCACACTGCTGACTCGGCGCAGTCTGAGTGGGGTAGGCGCGCGGCCCGGCCGTGGGCCTGGCGTAGCGCGCCCAGAGGGGGGAGGGGGTGAGATAAGGCCTTGTAACTGCGCGGGGGCTTTACATCCCCGGGGACAGCGCACAAGACAACCCACCGAGAGGAGAGAGAGCCACAGTCTCAAGTCTAGTGGTTGGCGTAGGGCGAGAAGAGGGAGAGGGAGAGGGAGAGGGAGGGAGAGAGAGAGAGAGAGAGCTGCAACTATGTCGTGCGTGTTAAACATCTAAACGACCGCGGCCTTATGTGCGGGTCAATCTGGCTTTACTATCAGGGGCGCAGGGGAGGCACTCGTTCCAGAGTGGTTGACGTGGCGGTAGGCTTGCGGCCGGATGGCGTCTTGAGCGAGACAGTGCGCAGTGGCGTAGGGTACCCTTCCCTTTAGCCCTTCAGGTCCACAGTGCAGGATGATGGGTTTGGCCTGAGGTGGTTGTTCCAATGATCTCCGCAAGTTCAGTTTCTATAATATTTGACGTGCTAATTCATAGTCTACTCAAACTTATAGTAAATGTTGCGGATATTGTAACCCAAGATCATCATTTCCCTTTTGGATAGATCAGAGCGCCGCGAGTTGTACAGCAGCGTTTCCGTAGAACTGGTGGTCTTCCGCAGAGTGCGTGACTGCTGTCACCGGCTACCCGGCTCGGGGTGGCCGAGTCTCGGAACCTACCGAGTATCACTGGTGGGGAGGTGCTGACCGCAGCCACCGCAGCCGGCCTGAGCACGGACCCTACCCTGCAGGACACTATGTTAGGCCATCTTATGAGTCGGGGCCT